ATCATATAGTGAGTTATATACCTTACTACTCTGATAATACCTCCTGTTGGTATATATGTATGTTGTAGATCATATAGTGAGTTATATACCTAACTACTCTGATAATACCTCCTGTTGGTATATATGTATGTTGTACATCATATAGTGAGTTATATACGTTACTACTCTGATAATACCTCCTGTTGGTATATATGTATGTTGTAGATCATATACTGAGTGGTGTCAATGTTTCTAGGCGTATTACGTTACCACTTTAATACATTTTTAGCTATATATATCTATAGATTTTGATGTATTCTTTTGTTTCTGTTGTCGTGGTTTTTTTAATTTTAATTTCAAATTTAATTTTTATCCTTGTGTCGCGTTTCTATGGTAAATTTTTATCTATTTTACTTCAAACCCACTTTAAGCTTGCAAACACCATAATATGGCATATTATTTAAATTATTTCAATTAAGTTATATTTAGGTATGGTGTATCATTACTTAAGAAAGACAGTCTCATCACTTTTCTATCGCATCACATTCTTTTTATGTTAAATTTATGTTATTTTCTGTAGATTCATTAAGAAATAATTACAGTAATTAGGTTGCAGGCTTTTGAAGGTAGTTAAAACATATTGAAAGTACCCAGTATTCCCAGTAATTTTGCAGTTAGGTGTTATGCTAAACATAGTAAATATCTTGACCTCCAAGCTTCATTATCAAAAGGTCTAGGATCAAAGCCTTGTAGCAGATGTGGTTTTTAGGTCACCTGAGACAAAGTCTCAAGTGACCTATATTGCGATCGCCTTTTGTTCGTCGTGGTTCCGTAAACAATTTACATTTTCGACCCCTTCTCCAAAACCCCTGAACCAATTTCAGTGAAATTTTGCAGAAACCTTCCATTGCCAAAGGTCAACTAAAATTGCGAATTATATGATCCCCAGCCCCCTGGGGCTGACGGGTGGGGCCAAAAAGGGTCCAATTGACTGAAATTTCAAAAAATCTTCTCCTCAAGACCCAGATATGGTAGAATCAAATACTCTTCATAGATGGAAGGGTCTTTAGGTGATTTATCAAATTGTGAATTTCATGACCCTTGGGTCTCACGTTTCCCCCTGGGGAGGGGGTAAACTTTACTATAGTTTATATAGGGAAATCACATTTTGGACTAACATTTGTTTAATTACCATTGGAAGTAATTCAATTTAGGTTAGCATCATCAGTAATTAGGTAGCAGTTTGATAGTATGCACATATGAGCCCTGACTGACCTCCCGGGGCTAATGGGTGGGGCCAAAAAGGGTTGTATTGACTGAAATTTCAAAAATCTTCTCCTCAAGACCCAGATATGGTAGAATCAAATACTCTTCATAGATGGAAGGGTCTTTAGGTGCTTTATCAAATTGTGAATTTTATGACCCTTGGGTCTCACGTTCCCCCTGGGGAGGGGGGTAAACTTTACTATAGTTTATATAGGGAAATCACATTTTGGACTAACATTTGTTTAATTACCATTGGAAATGATTCAATTTAGGTTAGCATCATCAGTAATTAGGTAGCAGTTTGATAGTATGCACATATGAGCCCTGACTGACCTCCCGGGGCTAATGGGTGGGGCCAAAAAGGGATTTATTATGGTTTATAATGGCAAGTGATACTTTGAATATTACATGTTAAATAACTTGATTGGAATTATAACCCTGAGTTGACAGTTTGATACTTTGAAAATTTTGAACCAGCCCTACCCGAAGGGCTGTAGGGTGGAGCCAAAAGGGTCAGTGTGCTAAAATTTCTTCATTTTCCTTGTTTAGATCGGAGGTGCTAGTTTCAAATACTTTTTAGTCTTAAATCTGTATGCTAGATATTGAATAAGGTGGTTATATTGTTTTTTTGTCACCCTGAATAATATTTCTGGTTATGTTAAAAACCAAATCAACTCTCTGTATAAATATATCAGGACACTGTTAAGGCCCATGGGCCTCTTGTTTATGAAAAGAAAATCATAATAAATTTCATTTATTTTTAGCTCACCTGGCCCGAAGGGCCAAGTGAGCTTAAAGCATGGTGCGGCATCCGTCCGCCGGCCGGCCGGCCGGCGTCAACTTTGTTAAAATCTTTAAACAAATTCTTCTCAATAACTAAGAGACCCAGGCTGATGATATTTGGCATGTAGCATGCTGGGATGAAGGGCTACCAAGTTTGTTCAAATGAATGACCTTGACCCACTTTCAAGGTCACTGGGGTTAAATGTCTTTAAATCTTCGAACAACTTCTTCTCAATAACCAAAAGGCCCAGGGTACTGATATTGGGCCTGTAGCATGCTGGGTTGAAGGGCTATCAAGTTTGTTCAAATGTTTTACCTTGATCCACTTTCAAGGTCACAGGGGTCAAATGTCTTAAAATCTTCAAACAACTTTTTCTCAATAACCAAAAGGCCCAGCGTACTGATATTGGGCCTGTGTAGCATGCTGGGATGAAGGGCTACCAAGTTTGCTCAAATGAATGTTCTTGACTCACTTTCAACCTAATGTCCTTATTCGACATTCAAGGTCACAGGCGTCACATGTTTAAATCTTTTAATAGGTTCTTATCAATCAAACACTGATATTCTGCCTGTTGTTGTATTTTAGTCCACTTTTAAGAATACAAGTGTGAAATTAATACCAGGTGAGCGATGCAGGCCCATTGGGCCTCTTGTTTACTCTAGGATTTATTTTATGTTCAGGATTCCTAAGTCAAAAATTGACCAAGTTTGTACTTTTCCTTATTGGAGAATGTCACAGAGAACTGGGACTCTCTGTTTACAGCTTCTGTACTTCAGGATTCTGATTTCATCATTACACTTTAGATCAATGCTATTCTTACAACTAAGCACCACCCTTACCTCCATGTGACTATGTTACAGGTCATCACTTTTGTATGGTTTGGTATTTTGCAGTATGTAAGGCTGAGCAGCTTTGACAGCAAACCAGAACAGGTCCTACAGTTACTGCAGAAACACTGGAGCCTCGATTTTCCAAAACTTCTCATCACTGTACATGGGGGAATTCTCAACTTTGACCTCCAGCCAAAATTAAAGCGAGTGTTTAGAAAAGGACTTCTGAAGGCGGCTAAAACAACAGGGGCATGGATCATCACTGGGGGTACAAATACAGGTAGGTGACACACATTGTTGGTATTATGCTGTATTCACAATAACCCTGCACTTTCAAGAGTGCAATGTATTATGAGCTGTATTCACAGTAACCCTGAACTTTATGGAGTGCAATGTATTATGAGCTGTATTCACAATAACCCTACTTTTGTATGAGAGATATGTATAATTGACTGTAATTACAATAACCCTGTGTTTGTTTGAGTGATGTGTATAATAGGTTATATATATATCAATTACTCTACATTTGGGCAAGAGAAGTGTATAAAATGCTGTAATAACAAGAAGCTTTCATTTTTACGAGGAGGTGTATAATCAACTCTTATAACAATAATTTTGTATTTGTACAAGTAAGGTATGTAACAGGCTGTAATAACAATAACTGTGTGTTTGTACGAGTAAGGTGTGTAACAGGCTGTAATAACAATAACTTTGTGTCTGTACAGGTAAGGTATGTAACAGGCTGTAATAACAATAACTGTGTGTCTGTACAGGTAAGGTATGTAACAGGCTGTAATAACAATAGCCATGTGTTTGTACAGGTAATGTGTGTAACAGGCTGTTATAACAATAACTGTTTGTTTGTACAGGTAAGGTGTGTAACAGGTTGTAATAACAATAACTGTGTGTTTGTACAGGTAAGGTATGTAACAGGCTGTAATAACAATAACTGTGTGGTTGTACAGGTAAGGTATGTAACAGGCTGTAATAACAATAGCCATGTGTTTGTACAGGTAAGGTATGTAACAGGCTGTTATAACAATAACTGTGTGTCTGTACGAGTAAGGTGTGTAACAGGCTGTTATAACAATAGCCATGTGTTTGTACAGGTAAGGTATGTAACAGGCTGTAATAACAATAGCCATGTGTTTGTACAGGTAAGGTATGTAACAGGCTGTAATAACAATAACTGTTTGTTTGTACGAGTAAGGTGTGTAACAGGCTGTAATAAGAATAACTGTGTGTTTGTACAGGTAAGGTGTGAAACAGGCTGTAATAACAATAACTGTGGGTTTGTACAGGTAAGGTGTGTAACAGGCTGTTATAACAATAACTGTGTGTTTGTACAGGTAAGGGGTGTAACAGGCTGTAATAACAATAGCCCTGTGGCTGTACGAGTAAGGTATGTAACAGGCTGTAATAACAATAAATGTGTGTTTGTACAGGTAAGGTGTGTAACAGGCTGTTATAACAATAACTGTTTGTTTGTACAGGTAAGGTGTGTAACAGGCTGTTATAACAATAGCCATGTGTTTGTACAGGTAAGGTATGTAACAGGCTGTTATAACAATAACTGTGTGTTTGTACAGGTAAGGTGTGAAACAGGCTGTAATAACAATAACTGTGGGTTTGTACAGGTAAGGTGTGTAACAGGCTGTTATAACAATAGCCATGTGTTTGTACAGGTAAGGTGTGTAACATGCTGTTATAACAATAGCCCTGTTTCTGTACGAGTAAGGTGTGTAACAGGCTGTAATAACCATAGCCCTGTGTTTGTACGAGTCGGGTGTGTAACATGCTGTTATAACAATAGCCCTGTTTCTGTACGAGTAAGGTGTGTAACAGGCTGTAATTACAATAGCCCTGTGTTTGTACGAGTAGGGTGTGTAACAGGCTGTAATAACAATAGCCCTGTGTTTGTACGAGTCGGGTTTGTAACATGCTGTTATAACAATAGCCCTGTGTCTGTACGAGTAAGGTGTGTAACAGGCTGTTATAACAATAACTGTTTGTTTGTACAGGTAAGGTGTGTAACAGGTTGTAATAACAATAACTGTGTGTTTGTACAGGCAAGGTGTGTTACAGGCTGTAATAACAATAACTGTGTGTTTGTCCGAGTAAGGTGTGTAACAGGCTGTAATAACATTAACTGTGTGTTTGTACAGGTAAGGTGTGTAACAGGCTGTAATAACATTAACTGTGTGTTTGTACAGGTAAGGTGTGTAACAGGCTGTAATAACAATAGCCCTGTGTTTGTACGAGTCGGGTGTGTAACATGCTGTTATAACAATAGCCCTGTGTCTGTACGAGTAAGGTGTGTAACAGGCTGTTATAACAATAGCCCTGTGTCTGTATGAGTAAGGTGTGTAACAGGCTGTTATAACAATAACTGTGTGTCTGTACGAGTAAGGTGTGTAACAGGCTGTAATAACAGTAGCCCTGTGTCTGTACGAGTAAGGTGTATAACAGGCTGTTTCAACCATTAACCTGGTGACATGATTCTTAACTGCTGTAAACATATACAAACTAGGAGGGCAGGACTATACCAGAATGTTTGGTGATTAGAGCAGTGACTGCTGTACAGATTTATAACTCCGTCGTCTGAGTTCAGAGTAAGATCTGATGGGGAGAATTAGACTACTGATCAGGCGCTCTCAATCAGAATGTTTGGCGATTAGAGCAGTGACTGCTGTACAGATTTATAACTCCGTGGTCTGAGCTCAGAGTAAGATCTGATGGGGAGAATTAGACTACTGATCAGGCGCTCTCAATCAGAATCAATAGGCTTGTGAAGTGGTGAGGAGATCTGAAAATCAATTCTGGTTGCAAACACAAATGCTATCTTGAGACATAAGCTGAGCTTGTGTATCAGATAAACAGAAGTGTTTTCAGGTGTAAAGTTGGAAAATACTGCTCATAATACTGCTCATCTGATAGATTAAGTTTGGTAAATGTCTTGTTTAAATGGTAGTAGATATTCTGAGACACTGAGGTACATAAGGTTTCACAAGGTTTGTAGTGCACATTTCATACTATCAGTCAAAGAACGATATTAAAATCTATCATATTCATACAACATTGTCAATTAAGTGTTTTCTTATATTATGATTAGTCATACAATAGTTGCGCACCTTTTTTCAATTTACACAAATTTCCTCGTGCCACACTTCCAATGAATAATATTCACATAAAACACCTAACAATGCACAAATCAACTCTGCCAAATGAGGTAAATGTGTTTTTAGGTCACCTGAGACAAAGTCTCAAGTGACCTATTGCGATCGCCTTTTGTCCGTCGTCGTCCGTCGTCCGTCGTGCGTCCGTAAACAATTTACATTTTTGACTTCTTCTCCAAAACCCCTGAACCAATTTCAATGAAATTTTGCAGGGACCTTCCATGGACAAAGGTCAACAAAAAT